GAACTAAGTTTCTCTGAAGAAGCTCAGGTTGAGTGGATTGCACTAGTAACTTCGGGCCAAAGTGGCCATTGGACCTAGACGCCCTCCTGTCCTTACAATGACTTTGAGAGTGTCCAATCCGACCACATTGGTAACAAAAATCAAATAATCTTTTCATATTTCAATCTAATCCAGATATCATCCTAATTGTCCCAAGTCAAGAAAAAACCCTTTTTCAAAGGTTCATTCAAGTTAATCATGCATTTTTCCCTCAGAAAGCTCCGCTGAATTTGAACTTCCCCTCAAATTCCTCGAGTTGGGTGGGCTCACCAATAATCATTCCTACTCTCCACGCATTATTTTTCGTCATCATATCAAGGGGTGACCCCAGATTTGAACCCAGAATTCAACTTAGTGGAAATCAAAATCTCCAATGATATACTGTGGTTGGTATACCTTCAGAACCAGTAATGCTCTTGAAATGGACCATGGACCTTCATTTAAAATCTTGTCTCTATCCTCCTCATCTTTGAACATAAACATATAGGTATTTCTCTCCCAATAGATAATGAAAAACCCTCTAGATGTCTTCCAAAAACTCTGTAGCACATTACAAACCCCTTGCTTATTTGGGTAGTATCTGTGAAAAATCAGCCCACTAGGCAAAATTTTCCTATCGTCTTTGAGGTGGAGGGGTCTAAATAGAGAGAGATTTATGGCTGATGGGTAGGATGGGAATCAACTTCTAGATCTTTCTCCATAATAGGAGGAGATAGTGAGAGCTACAGGAAGAGTAAAGAAAATAGGGAAAACTGAGCCAGAAATAAGATGGACGGGAGTACAGAGAGGGGATTGAGGATTTGGTAGTTTGGGGGTTTGGGGTTATTGGGTCTGTAACAGGGGTAGAAAAGAAGAAGGTAGCTCAACAATAGCTAAAAGCGAACAAAGACAAGGAAGAGATATGGTTAAGGAACACTATGGTAGAGAGGTAATGCAGAAATGGTAAAAAGATGGAGCAACAAAGAAAAGGGAAGAAGATAGATAGTTGATAAGGTGTAAACATCACTAGACACTTACCAATGAGAGCTTCCACTTCGGGAAGGAAAAAACGTCATGAGGGGAAGTCTTGGGGAGACCTTGGGGGGAGTGATACATACAAACGAGACATAGATGGTAAGAATGTGGGTTGTTCCAATCTAGAGGAAGTAAATGAAGGTTAGGTAGGTTGAAAGCATGAATAAAGAATGAATAGTGCTGAGAAGACGAAAAGATCTGCCTCGGGAAAAGAAGAGTGAGAATAAAATCTTAGAAAAAACCCTAATCTAGGGAGAGCACTCTCATACCGAGAGAGGTAACACAGTTTCACACCGTTCTCTTTCTCTGTCTGCACATGTAAAGATAAGAAAAAGACTCAGAGATAGGCAAAACTGACATGTGCAATGTGGACCATGTAATTGTTGGCCAGGAAGAATATTACATAATTGTTGTTGGCTACATCTACAATATAATTAACTAAAAGATAGTAAATTCAATGACAATAAACTAAAACACAGTGAAGTAAAAAATTCAAATTTTCTTTCATCCACAATATATAACCAAACACGTTGAGTTCACTGTCTTAAATTTAGTGTATGTGGATGGGGGAGGGGGTGGGATATAGGGATGGCAATGGACCGGGGAAAAATAAGTATTTATTCAAATCTGTCCTGTTTGGACTGAGGATGGACCATACGTATTGGACAGTGGACGTATACGGGAATACCTATATAAACCCGTGTCGGGATGAAGGCGGGGATGGAGTGACACATATCCCCGCCCCGCCCCACTTTATCCATTATTATTATTATTATCATTATTTTATATGTATACATGTTACTGTGAATATAAATTTACATATTATTGAATGATTTTTTCTTTTGAAAATTATTTTATTTTTTTTTTTTTTTCATGGTTTTGGTTTGTAAAAATATAAATCTTTGTGTTTTTATATTTTTTTATATTAGATTATGTTATGTTACGTTATGTCGTGTTGCATGATATTGTGTTGAATTTACAAGGGAGACAAATTTTTAATTATATTATGTTGGATTATGTTGTAGACAAAATTTTAATTATGTTATGATATTCTATAATTATATTAAATTATTTAGAATGTTAGATTTATTTAGAATTTTGGATTATATTAGTTTGGACTTGGGCTTGGGTTTGGGCTTGGGCTTGGGCAGGTAAGGTGGACAGGAGTGGGGGCGGAGGTGAAGGCGAGGGGCGGGGGGCGTCGACAACGGCGGGGGTGGGAATTATAAATTTACAAGCAGACGCGGATGAAGATGAAAACTATACCTGTTAACGAGGGTAAATCGAGAATGAACAGAATTTTTTAAAGCGGGTATGGGGATGGAGATAACACCCCACCCCCGCTTTGGTCCACTAGGGAAAAGAGCTAAGAAAACAAATTGGTTCAGCAACCAAATATAGAGTGCAACTCTATGGCTGAGCAGGTAAAGCACTTGGACTAAAACTTTGAGAATATTATTGAACATCATTAGCTTTAAACCAACTATGATACATTTTTTATAGTTTGTAAGTGTCATAAAAGAAATATATAAACAATACATTTTCTGGTTGGTTATTGTGATTAAGATTGTGCTTCAATCTCAATGAAAACTCGCCAAGGCAGCGCTTGTTATGTTTTTCTTTTGAATTAATATTCATGTGGTGATACGAAAAAAGCCTCAAAATTAAAAATCAATAATATAATATAATATAAGTTAAAAAATAAAATTTTCTACAATATTGCCTAACAAATTAGTTTTTGAAATAGTAAACCAAAAAAAAAAAATTAAAAATTTTGGTCCAAAAGTTAAGGTCTCCTCGTACAATCACATTTATTAAAGAACAAAAAAGATTAATAAAATAAAATGTTGACCAAATCTATTTCTTTCTTCAATTGAAAGAAGTGTAATAAACATCTCTTTTTAATCACAAAAAAAAAATCAAACTAAACACATTATTTACTTCTTTTAAACTTATTTTTTTTTATTTGAACGCAAAACACCAATTAAACCATTCATTTTCATTAAAAACAATATTTTGATAAAATTCTTATTCGTAACAAATAAAATATAACAAAAATTTAGGTGAAAGTTGCATGGATAAATAAATAAAATTTAAAGATAGTAAAAATAATCCAAAAGAAAGATAACGATGAATTTGTTTATAATAAAATTAATCATCTAATTCCACAGTTTTGTTAAAGAACATATAAAATAAATAAAAAGAACATAAAAATATTAATGAAAAAATTAATTTTGTTCCTATAAATATATATGATCAAAAGTCATATTATTAATTAAAAAAATATATTAGCAAAATTTAAATAAAAAAATTAGCAATTTTAAATCTCATCAAAAAATAAAAATAATAGATTTTAAATTGAAAAATTAAATTATTATTAAAAAAAATATAAAAGTATCATTGACCCGTCATTACTTTAAACCTCAAATGTTGTTGAACTACCTCTGAATTTATCAATTTACACTTGCATTAATCTCAATATAAAAAAAAAACACATCTGAAGGTCTTTTTTTATTATATATATTATTAAGTGCATTTCAAATAATCTATAGCTTTATATTCGAAGGTATTTACATTAGTTTTAAAAACATAATCTGACAAATATGGACTTTAACTAGCGTGCAACTGCAAAGCAGGATTCACACTAGTAATAAAATAAAATAATTTAAGACTGACCCCAATATTTTGGCTTTCATACTAATCTCAACTTTTTTTTTAATACCATTTTAATACTAATCTCAACTTTTTTTTAGTACAAAAAAATGGATGAAAAATCTTGCCTTTACGGCCATCTCCACCATTAATTTAAATTTTTACCTATATTTAACACACAACACTCAAATGTACAAACTCAAAATTTTGAGAGGATAAACCCAAATTTAAAGTAAAATAAAATATGATGATTGAATTTTTAAATGAGGAAAAAATAAGACCAAGGTATGAGTTTCTCTTTGATTTGAATAAAAATTTGAGTTTCTCTTCGTTTAGTATAAGTTTGAGTAAAAGATGGAAAATTGTTTTTAACTTATTTTTATTCAAATTTAAATTTGAATAAGAATTTAAATAAGGATAAAAAATGCTTCTACTATAAAAAGAAACCTTTTGGGCTTATTTGGTTATTGTATTATCAAAAATGGATTATATTAAATAATACTGGCTAATTTTGCATTCGCGAGAAAAATATAAGATTAAATATGGGATAAAAATACTTTCTATATAATTTAGTGTTTGGTAAGACATTTGATTAAAATTGGGATAATAGAGTAGTAAATAATTATTGGTCCATCTAATCTAGTTATTCATGTTTCTTATTTATTTTGTGATTAAAATAATAAATTTATAAGTGAATACAATTAAATTTAATTATAATACAACCAACATATGGTATTAAAAATCGGTTCAATAATAGAGATAAGACATATTATTCTTATATATTAAAATCAACTTGTATATAATACAAATTATGATTATGATCGAATTAAAGATTATGATTCTATAATTCACTTTTTAATTGTAGGATTAATAGTACTTTTGATCGTTAAAATATATTTTTTTATTAATTTAATATTTCTTATATTAATTTTATTAATTTTAATTTTTAAAATATTCAATTCATGTGATTTTGATCTCTATATAGACGTAGCGTTAAATTTTAAACGGAATGATTACGACCCCTCTTGTACAAAACCCCCCGGAAAACACCAACCGTTAAGAACTACGGAACCGAAAGCGAAGGCTCCCCATATTTTCCAGTAAAATCAACAAGAGACCCACCTTGAAACCCTCGTTCATGGCGGACCCAACTATGGCCAAAGATTCCCCTAAAACCCCATACATTCCCTTATCTAAAACCCATTCTCTTCTTTTTCATCTCCATTCTATGAATTACCGTCATCTTTCAAGAAAACCACCCAGAAGAGATCAAAGGAGGAGAGAGAGAGAAAAGAATGGTGTTCGGTTCAGATGTCTCCCTCCCATCACAAGGGAAGAGTGTAATGGTTGTGATGGACGCGAATCGCAGCAAAGTAAGCGTCGACGCACTTGATTGGGCTATCAAACACGTCCGCCGAAAAGACACGATTGTTGTTCTTGCGGTGTTGTCGGCGGTCGGAAAGAAGACTTCTTCTTCATGTTTTCCGTTCATTGGATTCTCCAGAATTTGTATGTTTTTCCACCCCCTTTTTTTTACTGCGATCTTTCTTATGATTTATACTTTATAGGACAAATTACACTTTGACTGCCTCAACTATGACCTTTTTTTCAAATTATCTTCTAAACTATCATATTTTTTTTATTGCACCCTCAACTATATGATTAATGTGATATTTTTTAATTTACCCCGAAACATTACAATTTTTTACTAAAAAGAAAATCATTTGTATTTGGGGAAATGTGAACTAATTCAAGTCATTGGGGACCAATAAGAAAAAAATCAATAGTTTGAGGGACAATAAAACACAGGAGTGTCAATTTTTAATACGACACAAACTGAATACGAAAAAATGGGTTGGACATAAAATTAAAGGAATCAATGATTAAAACGGGCAACACACTTAAGCAAAAAAAAAAGTATGTTGGGCTCATGTCAAAATTAAGTCAACTCGATTTTGACCTGATTAACCCGTGTATTTTAAACGGGTTGACATAATTTAGACACGAACTCGACCTAACTCCTTATAGACATGTTTAACCCGTTTATGACAGTATAATTTGTCTATTATGTCTGATTGATATGGTCTTAACATTATTATTTATTAGTTCTTACTTCTATTATGATAATTGACAGAATAATTCTTAACATTATTATGACAGTATATTAGTATAGTTCTTATTTTATTTTTTGGGTTGAAACTTGAATGCATTTTAGTTAATTTCATTGATAATATGTGATATGTTATTTGTGAAAAAATTATTTGAAATTTTAGATGAATGATTGAATGGTGTATTTAATGCTAATGAACAAGTGTGGAAACAGGTTATGTGTGTTAAATAGGTTTATGTTTATAAATCTCGACACGATTATTAAACATGTCAGATTTGGGTTTTGAAATTTTTGACACAAATTCAAAATCAACCCAACACGAAATGACTCAACCCGACACGTTTGGTACTTCTAATGAAACATAGTCCATAGTTTAGAAGGTCAAAATATATTTTTTCCTTATTTATATTTGAAATGTAAATTAAAATAAATTAATTTTCAAATATTAGTCAAAATATATCAAAAATACATTGAAACGGTTCGAAACATGGAAATTTTTATATTCAAACACTAATTTGTTTCAATTTTTCATGGAAACAAAAATATTTTAGTTGTTTCGGTATAAAATAAATGAAATTTTAATTCTTAGTTCCGATTGATTTTTTTGATAAAGTTGCCTCTAATATTCTAGTATGTGTGTCCAAATTGCTTGTATTTACCCATTTGTTGAGATTTGAGCTCTTCATGGAATCTCCGTAATTATTATGTTTTCACCCTTATTTTGTTTGTCTTCCTTGGGTTCTTAATTCCGCTCACCTAAGCCTGCATCCCAAACTCATATACCCAAAAGCCATCAGCTCAACACACAACACAACTATGCATTCTTCCTCCTCTCTCTCTCTCTCTGTGTCTATATATATATATATATATATATATATATATATATATATATATATATATATATATATATATATATATATATATTACAACTTGGCCTCTAAGGGAAAAATTAGCACAACCCACAATTCCAATTTCAAAATAAAATCAAAATCAATTGAATTTTGTTATCAAAACACACTGGTATATGTATACACACTAACATATTCATTAATTGAGTGTTAACTTTGATAAAATTGAATTTTAAATTAAAGAAAATGAAAGTTAATTTGAATTTAGAGGTTAATTCGGTGTCAATTTTATAAAATTGAGTATTAATATGATAATTGAATGTCAATTGGATGAAATTTAGTGTCAAATTGGTAAAACTTAATTTGAAATTGATGAAATTTAATGTTAATTTAATACTTTAATGTTCATTGGATAAAATTGAATGTTAATTTGATAAAACTGAAAATTAAATGGATGAAATTGAAGGTTCATTTGATTAAACTGAATGTAAATTTGATAAAAGTGAATTTTAATAAGATAAAATTTGATTGTTAATTTAATAGAATTGGATGTTAAATTGACGAAATTGAATGTTCATTTGATTGAATTACATATAAATATGATGGAATTGATATCAATTTTTAAATAATTAAATTTTAAATTAATGAAATTTAATGTTAATTCAGTGTTAGCCTCCCCTACCACCACACGCATAACGCAAATTTCATCAATTGAAGTTAAATTTAATTTAGTATTAATGTGATGAAATTCAAGTTTAATTTGATGACTTTGAATGTGCATTGATGTAATTTGATGAAATTCAAAAATAAAGTATATGGTGTAATTTGATGAAATTAGATTTTAAATTGATAAAATTGAATGTCAATTTGATGAAATATATTATAATTGAGTGAAATTAATTTTGAAATTGATGAAATTTAGTAATTTTGTTGGATAGTTGTGCGTGAGAGAGAGTAAAAATGGAATTGCGCAATAATTGAGGATAAATGAGTAAAAATAGTTTTATGTTAAGGGTAATTGTGTAAAACTATAACTTCCATCTATTCCTTCAAAGACAAACCTGACAGGAAGTGAGGGTGATATTTCATAAACTCTAGAGTGTGCTTTCAAAAACTGAGGCCCCTAGAACATGATTGAGACTGAAGTTTTTGGTTTTGTTTAATTTATGATTAGACAGACGCTTTCTCGGGTTTTGCTTTGTTTACCAGTTAGTTATATTGATGTTAGTAATCAATAATTTTTTCTAACGCAAAAGTTGAGTCCTCAAGACAGAGGGACACAGATTTGGACAGCAAAGTATAGGTTGGCTTTAGGCATAGAAAGATAACAGGAGGGTGGTCTCCAATGCAACATTTCACGTTGTCACTGTTGTGGCTTAGAGGTACCCAAAGGCATTAATCATACTGTCAGGCAAATCTTCTATTTGGGGATAGCAAAATTCATAATCTGTGCACAAGTTATATGTAATTCATTTCAAGGATGTTCTAAGACATATGCATATGTTATACCATATATTTTGACATAGATGTGTAGCTGGTCAATTAGTCCTTGTTAGCAATTCAGTATGGAGATTTGAGTCTTGCTTTCAATCAGTTTTCAGCTTTTTGTGGCGAAGGATCCATTCCCATTGAGAGATCTGTTCTTCCCACTAATAATTTCACCTTCTGCCCTTATGTTGTGGAGAACTACAGAGACCAACACTAGTTAATTTTGAAATTTACTTTCCTATTAATTGTTAATGATTTTTACAGTCTCTAGTGTAAATGTTGTGTGCAATGTTCATTATTGGAATGAAATATCAAATATTCTTTTTTTGGTGGACCATCAAAATCTTGGACTGATTATACTTCGCCACATGCAATTCCCCTACTGAACTTTTCATCTGTATACCTTCAGTATGCTGAGAACTATAACCAATAGGCACCTAATTGCTTTCTGCTGTAACTGCGATTCCTTCAGGGGTAAGATTAGAGTTCTCTGGACATGGGGAAATGAGCCCCCAAGAACTTGAAGAAGAGATTGAGAATAAAAGGGAAGAATATCAATCTACTCTCCAGCCATTTTACCAACGGTGCAAGAAGAGGGAGGTTGGTGGCTAAACTTAAACTGTGAATACAAGAACACTTGGAGGATAAAGAATTTCATTGTGCAGGTGAAGTTGGAAGCCAAACTTGCCGCAGGATATGATCCCAGGAATATTACTATTGAAGAAGCACTAAGTTTTAAACCCCGCTGGATCGTTTTAGACAGGTGATTCATAGCTCTTTTCTTGAACTCAGGAGACAGGCATTTGGTTTTCAAATGGTCCCTAATATTGAAACTCTATCATTTGTTTGTAATTGGCAGGCGCTTGAAGAAACATAAAGTGTATATAGATGGGCATGTAGGCTGCGATGTTGCAATAATGAAGGAGAAAGGTGTTGCTACCTTAATGCCATCAAAAGCTCCTGAGTGTGAACGATGGTGCACAGAAAGTGAAGAAATTAATGATATAGCATCAACAGAAAACGAACCCAAGGAAATGCAAGATGAAGGTTCTGATACTGACGAGGACGAGAGCGTATTGATACCTGCACCACCAACTCCTCAAAGTTCATGTTGGCGCCCGCTTTCATCGAGACATGGATTCCCTCGAGCTTTCTCTCTTATTGAGCTTGAGATGGCAGCAAATGGCTTTGGCACTGAGAATCTGATCCTAGAGGAGGATGGCATGAAACTTTATGAAGGAATATATCAGGAAACACCAATTTTAATCAGGCTTTTTTCTGGAGATGATGATCGCTTCTGGTCATTACTCAAGGTCCTCTCCTGTGTACGCCATCGCAATATTGTGAATCTAGTGGGGTACTGCTGCACGGCTGATTCTTTGTTCCTGCTATGCGACTATCCTTGCAATGGTACTCTTGAAATGAACTTGCAATGTAAGAATAACTCCTTTAGTGGTTGAACTTGCGATCAATATCAATATGTTCTCTTATCTCTATTATTATCAGAAAAAAAGTATTCTTTTTTATGTTCTTTGGCCAAAATGCATTTCTAAAACAATTGTTATCTACTATAAATTTATCTCTCTGTCTTTATCTGCTCTTCTTATGCTGTCTTCTGCCCTAGATTGTCATAATTGTCACCGTTGTAAATCGCAATTTTCTCTAGCTAACAGGCGGGAGATCTTGGTCAGTATTGATTACTAACAGAGGTGACCAAGGCACAGAGTTTAAACTTCGTTCTCTTTCCCCTTTCAGTTTTTTTTCTGTTACAACTCCAATTCTGGAGACAATTTAATCATAATATTGAGCTCTACAAATTTGTAGGTAATGAGTTGGCTAAGAACCTTTTGTGGAAAACAAGGTGGTATATTGCTCTAGAAATAGGTGCAGGCCTACGCTATCTGCGAGAGGAGTGTGCTGATGGACCTATCATAGACCTTTCTATATGTTCGTCTGCAGTTGTATTTTCTCACAGTTCCACAGCAATGGTGTGTCTAATTTCATACCTCAGCGTTAATTTGCAGTAACAAATTTTTGTAAAAAAGGATAGAACAAAGACATTGAGATGTCCACTAGAACTAAAATTCATCAGTTTTGCCTATGTTCTGACAACTTTATACCCACCATTCCTACACTGTTTAACAACCATGACCTCAGCTGGAATTTGTTTTAGATTGTGGCTGTCTGGATTTCCTGCTATTTAATGCTCCTCAGATTCATGAGAAAAACTTGAGCTTTAAAATTAATACTTGTTTTTTTTGCTTGTTATTCAAGCTTAGCATGTTCAAGAGAGCCAAGTGGCTTAAGGGTGATCTACCATGTAATGAAGATTCACCAGCAGAGTAAGAATTCAATTTTTTTTGTTATTTTATTCGATGATACTTTTGATTGAATCCCAATGAGCTACATGCATTAAATTTCCTTTTTTTTTTTCATAAGTCTTGAAAGGTGCACATGCCCAACTATAGAGGAAGACGAACGCCTTCTGGCTGATTTATGCGGTTATGGGATGTTCCTCATAGAGCTCATAACTGGAAAGAGTGCACAGACATTTCAAGAGCAGGGCGAGGGTCAATCCTTAGTTGACTGGGTAAGATGTTTTGGTCAGTATCACATACAATCACTAGAAAAGCATTGGGAAGCAAATCCAGGAAATTTCTGACTGATCATTAACACTGAACAAATATAAATTACATTCATGTAAATTACTTTCTGGTAAATGTATAAGTTAGACATCATTTGAATATCTAAAGTGAAATAGTTTGAAAAAATAAGGGCAAATTATGAATCACCTCTCTGTGGTTTGACTGGCAAGCATGTTATCTTCCTATTGTTTTGGACCAAAGTGAAATTGTTACATTTTCTATCCAAACTGATGGCATATGCATGCAAATAAACTGTTTCCCTCCCAATTTTAAAGTTTTAAATGATGGAAAGTACCTCTACTTAGATCCAGTTCAGGGATTATCCATTTTTTCCATTTCACCTCTATTGTCTTTCACACTGTGGTTCTGTATACCTAAGTTTGATCCCATTCTTTCATCCTTCATCTTCAGACCATATTTTTGTTATCCATATATTGCATGGAATCATTGATCCATACATGGGTTCTAACCAGATATTAATTTAACTAGAGAGAGAATTAGAAATGAAGGCAGAACCATGTCTAAAACTCTCTAGGTTCTCTCCAGATAGTAGGACCAAAACCAACTTTAAACGACCTTGAACCGAAGGAATATCACCAACTCGTTTGATTTTCTTAGCCAAACCAAAATTTAATTGACTCTGTCTGTTATGCTTGTGGCTTTCTTGTGCGTACAATATGTGTGTTTGTGTGTGTACATATACATAGAGAGAGAGTTGTTGATGCAAAAGAGCTACTGGATGCTTTGTGTGTGTGTGCAATGTGGGTTAGAGAGAGCAAAAGAGAGAGTATATGTGGAAGAGAGTTGTTGAGGTAGAGGTATAACTTTGTTCTATAAGGATTGATGGTTATCTTTGTTCACGTAAAGAATGAATAATGTTTGGATGCAGGGTAAATGAGTTATGTTTACACATTCTGGTAGTTTAGATGGAAAATGTAATGGTTTCACTTCCAAAACGACATGAAGTCATGTGTTTTTAAAATATAGGGAGGTAACGTGTAGGGAAGTAATCAATGATTTGCCGTAAAAATAACATGGTCATGGTATTTGCAGTTTCACTTTTTTTACAAATGAAATTCTGCATATGGGATATGAAGGGGTGATTCTGGTGTCCCTGCTTCAACTATAAAGTTGCTGCCTATTCAGCAAAATATTATGCAGCACAAGAGCTTCTAATGTTAAATTAAGTAAGGAATAAAATACAAAATCATGTTCTGTTCCTAAACTTTACTTCATTGATCTCTGACACAGGCATTGCCCTTTCTGGAAAATGGTTCACTGGACCAGGTGATGGATCCAAGAATAGAGGACACAAGCGATATCAGGGTGGTTGATCATATTGCACAAGCTGCACTGCTATGTCTGAAAAATGACTCATGCCACAGATTTTCCATGAGTGAGGTATGATTTACTTCCGTCTATATGCCTGCTTACTGAGTTTCTGATAACATGTGAGATCAATTTCCAATGCTTGATTACCAAATGAGCAGTACTACCTGTGGGTCGTTTCGGTGTCAGAAGCATTTGAGTTAGTCTGAGGCTTATTGTGTTGCCTGCATTTGAAAAGACAAGCAGGTAGCCCACCATGCTGTAGCTAAGCAAGTACTCTTAGGGGGAAAAACAAATCAAAAAGGATGGAGCTGAGGGAGGTAGGAGAGGCAATTTCATCAGTGTGTATCTTTAAACCTCTTGAAATCAGTCCAAATATTGTGTAAACTATAGTTGGTTCCATCAACTTCCACTGGACATTTAAACAGCGTCACAAAAGGAGGGTTCACCTTTTCATGAGACTTGACTGGGCAATGAAGAAGTTAGGGCAATGGTTCACATGTACATGGAACAATAAAGATGTTTTACCTTCTCAGTTTTTTCTAATCTTTTTGCAATTTTAGGAATGTACTTCTGTTTCCATAGTCTAATGCGTGAGTAAAACTGTTGCAGGTCTTAGCTGTGGCTCGGGGTGATAAATTTGCAATCGCCAAGTACTGAAATCTAGAAGAAGGATTGTCAACCGTCCTTGTAATAAGGTAAATAGATAAACTGTGAGTGTGAATAAAATTCTGTGCAAGTAGACAAAAATAACTACCTATGCAGATCAGAACATGTCTTGAAAAATTGTAACTAAAAACAAATCAGAATAAACTGATCTTCATTTTCCACATTCTGCTTCCTTTGAATGTTCAGTGTGTGTTCTAATTGATGAATGTTTGGAAACTAAATGGCACCTAAAAGTAGAAACAAAATGGAAGTGATTGCTTCGATCTGGAATGGCTAAACAAGGGCTTGGACACTTAAAATAGACAAAACAAAAACAGAGGGAACGTATAAATCTACAGACCGAGGGGTGCCTGATGCCTGTTTTTCTTGCTGTTTGGCTCCGCCATGCTTGAATAAATGTAATGCCATATGCTATCTATTGTCATGCTGTGAATGATCAACATAGTGCCAGCAAATGAGTGAAACCCGAGCTTTGTTGCGATGATGGAATAGAATAGACTGTAGTTCTACCAATTTCATCAGCACACCTTGTTCTGGTGCTTGTTCAATTTCCTTTGGTTAAAGCTCCTTATCACAGTCAATTTACAAGACATTCCAAATTTGTTTCTTTGCTCGTAAGGGAAATCTTCCCAGTCTTTTGGACTCAACGCAATGCTCAGACACACATAGTCATCCCCAAATCACATGCATCGGTTGAAATCTGGGTTTATATTGCCAGGATGACGAAAAACTTTGGACATATGGATTCACGCCTTGCTCTTGTTCGGCAACTGAATCAACACAAGTGGGTTAAGTGTCCGCATGTTGGACGCAAGTTGCTTAGGGGAATGACTAATGAGGTTGCCCATGCAATTTCTGTGACTAACAAATGTGGTTGGAGAGGATGAGGTAGAAATCACAAGGAAGGAAATTATAATTTTGGCATATTGGTCAACATACAAGGCCTCCATATTTTCTTATCCAATACAAGCTGATTCTCCATTTAGAGAGAGAGAGAGAGAGAGAGAGAGAGAGAGAGAGAGAGAGAGAGAGGGAGAGAGCATGGTGAAACTTATCTTGCTTGTTGATTTAGAATAAAAAGAACATCAAAATCACTGGTAAACCTGTCTCTTTCTTTGGCATATACAACTAAGCAAACATCAAAACAGACTCGATAGTGCACCAAGCCTGTTAGAAAATGGTGGTCATGTCATCCAAAGGTTTCTTCCTCATGGTCATATCCCTCATTGCAGATCCCCCAGTACCATTCACTTACTTCCATCTCTTAGCAGCAACAGCTTGATCATAGTAGTGTATTATATTTCTCTCAGATCTAATCCTGTTTATCTAGTTTATTTCTCTTGTTATCAACCAACCGAACTTGCGAGTCCCAGTATCCAATTTCATCACACTTCGAAATATGTGATGTCCACGAGAGAGAAGTCATTGATTTCCAGACAAAGGTTGGCGAAAGGTCTGGTATCGGAGGCGAGGCTTGCGTTCCACCGGCTGTGCACGAAATCCCCTGATGACTCTTTGAACTTGTTATAAACCAATAGCTAGAACTTGCCCTGAAAATTGGCTTGCATAAGAAGGGTGTCCAAGAATTATATATATACATTTAATCTTATTTTTAACCACGTGGGATCATAATATTTCACCACGCTTTCGTGGTCGACGTCCATGACGACCTACTCTATCGACACTGACCTAATAGTAATCATTTCTCTTTGATGACTTCACTCACTTATCGGTAATTAATGAATGCATACATAATACTAAACTATCTTAATCTAGCCTACGTCGCCCCTTCCATGACTCGACCACAAAAAGTTGTAGCTCACATTACGTGAACTCATAGGTATAAACTTACCCTTTGTTAACTCGGCTTGCAAAAAAAAGGGTGTTTATGAACTTATATACACATATCTAATCTTATTTTTAATCGACGTAGGATCGACATATGTTAATATTACAATTTTACATTGGTTAAAAATAAAACTATGTGATATAAATTTTTTGGACACCTTCCTTATAGGTCGATTTAAGAGCCAGTTCTACCCCTGGGTTCGTAATAGAACCCAACTCGACAAGAACTGGAACAGTTCTCTTCACAATTGTGCAAGATTGTCTTAC